ATTTATTGAATGACACTAAATTTTGGAAAGGGGGAAAAAACCTCTAAACTTGTTTCCTGATGCTTCAGATGTGAAGTAATTTCCATTTACAATGAATTTCACTAAATTAAGCTCTCATTTCCATTTCAGAGCATTCCAAGCGCCGACAAAGCTACAAGAACAGATTTAATAGAAACTACTTTAGTCTTTTTTATTTCATATTAATATATCACAAAGAAATATATATATCGCATACTGTTATTTTCAATCGGCCGATCTCCCAACACTATTTGGCACCAATTTCCTCAGAAACCTTTTCAGAGCAGGCACGAAACTGCCAAATTTTAAGGGGCAAAAAAAAATCATAATTTCCGATTTCAGGATTTTACTTAATTACTAATTATTTTGAGCTTAAATATTTAAGATGAATTTTGACGAAACTACCTTCTCCCCAAAGGGGCGGTTGACATACAGAAGATTAATTTTTGATGAGAAAATTGCTAGAAGCAAACGTAAGGCTAGAGCAGTTTGACCTCCTGTAATTTAAATTCATCATCGAAACTTTTCTTTGAGAACTAAACGAATACAAAAGAAATTAGTTCTTACCAAATTAAGTTGCTTGGATGCTTACACCAAATTTAATGCTTCGACCAAACTAGGCACCAAAAAAATCCAGTACCACTCAAATAAAAACATATTGATTCTGCAGTTGGTTGCCCATTTCATCTTCAATACCAGTATACATAATCCCAGCTCTGTAAAAATCAACTCCTTGCAATTAAGTTGAAATTTAAGACAATAATACCTTTTTTATAGACAACATTCATCGATTTTCCCAAGAGAAAATTAGTTTAATCAGTTTCCTTCAGCATACCACAAAAGTTTTCGGCTACCGATTTTACAGTTTTTTCAATAAGAACTCAAAACTAAGTAAAAGCCGAGAAATAAAGAAGAGGAAATTTGCCTGCTTTACACAGCTCAACTACGACGTTGTCAAGGGCCTCACGGGCCCGCACAACGCGCTCCACTTCTGCGGCGGATTCACTTGCAAATAAGCCCTTGGGTCGGTGCCGACTAACCCAAAATTGGCGTCTGGTTTCAAAAACAAACCTCGTTCATCCAGGCCCGGTTACAGGACCGAAAAAGTTGCTTTCTCTATAACTACTAAGTTACTGTATTCGGCCAAGTCTTAAGCAATTGTGATGGTAGATTTGGTCAATTGTTGCGTTCTGGATTGTTGACAATATCTCCGCATCTGAAATTAAAGTCTGGCGGCCGGAGGTTTTATTTGAAACTTTTAACCGCGGGTTTGACAATTTGATGTTAGGTGATGTTTCTACATATTTGGTAGCACAGTAAGGGATTGTTGATTTTATCAAAGTTTCCATGAAGAAAGGCTTATGTGTTTATCGGTGTTGAGTTATGTGTCCTTGTTTTGTAAGATAATAACTACTTTTTTAATCCCCTCTGTCAAGTAATTAACTACCTTTAACGGCTACAAAAGTGGCCAGAGCTTCTTTTCTTTTTAAAAAACAAAAATATTTAATTTAAATTCTTTCCTTTATTTGTTTCATTTATTATTATACTCCGTTTTTCTGACTGTCTGCAATATGTCTTGAGGGTAAATGCGTAAATGTCTAAATGAATGCAGTGGGCCATTGGAAATATTTTCTGATATTTCTTAATTCTCCTTCATGTACTCCTAGCAAAAAAAAATTAAAAAAGAATTCTTTTTTTGAATTTATAACCACCTATATTTCTTTAATTAAGGAGAAGGAGTCTCAACCACCAAATATTATTAAAGAAAAAAAAATTTATATTCTACCATAATTTAAGGCAAGTGAATTCTTTAATTTTAATTGCAAGTAGGTTTAATTTGTTTCTTTTGAAGAAAAAAAACTTAATTTTAAGCAAGTCAAATTTTTTTTATAAATTAAAGAATAAATCGAGCTTATTTCATTTTTAAAAAATCCTTTTCTTAAAAGAAAACTCAAGTTCTTATAATAAAAACTCAAAATGACTTAAATTTAACTTTTCATATTCTATAAAAAAAAAAAAGAAAAAGAAATTGTCAGAATTTTGAGTGCAAATAATATTTTGGAAACAAATAATTTTTGTATACCCAAATCCCTATAGGGCAAGGAAATTTTTCCTCTTTTCCTTTCTTTTTTTTTTTTTTTTTTTTTTTTTTTTTTCTTTTTCTTTCTTACAAGGACAATCCTTGTTGGCCTTTTATCTACATTCCATAGTTTCCATTATTGGTATGGTTGGGCGTTCAATGTTGATGACAAGATATTTTTCTGTGTTATATTAGATTTATTCCTTTTACATATATCATTTTACGTAAAAAGGTAAATTGTATTTAGGATCTATTTAATTTAGTACGTAGTTTATAATAACTGATAATAACTATTAATGATTAATTGTCAATCACTAATAGTTAGTAGCTAATGAAACACATTGCTTAGCAAAATCTTAGCAAAGATTTCTGTTATTGAAATAAAAACGATTAAATTATAATCATTTTTATAAATTATCATGCATCATACATTTTTAATATTTAAAGTAAATATATTATTTTTTATTTTAATATGTTTTAAATAAAAAATATTAATGAAAATTTTTTCAATAATTTTTATGTTTTATAATTAACTTTCATAATTATCCATAAAAATATATTTTCTAAGACAAATATATTATTTTCTATTTTAAAATACTGTATAAATAGAAATATTAATTGATAATATTTAATAATTATTTTTTTCTGATAAAATCAAGAGGGGTTAATTCCTCTCTCGATAGAAAAGTATAAAGGTTAATTTATTAAAACTTAATAGGTATTTTTAATAGTATAGTTAAAATTTAATATAAATAAACATTAATATGGTAGGGGAAAACTCTTAGTTAGAAATTGACTATCATTATCAAGAATAATTTTAAGTTAATTAGAAATATCTGAATTAAATTATGACAAGGAAGGTCTAATTTTTAAACTCATTTGCAATCTTAATATTTTTGTAAAATAAAATAAAAAGAGAATCAATTTTAACTTAATTTAGAATATTTAAACCCAATTACGATGGAAAAATAGTTTATTAATACTGTCTTTATTGGTAATAATAATTAATATTCATTTCATATTCACAGTGCCTAATATTCTTTTTTAAGGAAGAATATCAACTATTCTGATAACAATATTTTTAAGGGTACAATAAATTTCTGTAAATTTTGAGATACAATATATTAATTTTTTCTGGTAAAGTAACACAATGTTATTGTAGAGGTGATTATATTAAAAAAAAAAAATCAAAACTAAACTATTTTTAATTTTCTATAATTTTGGCTTTTGATTTTCGAATAAATTATTACAAGATAATTATTTTTCTTAGTAAAAAATCAAATGCATCAATTCGGTTCGATTTATGAATTTACTTCAGTACGGCTCGATTTCGAAGCAAAACTAAATTCGATTTTTTACGGTTGGTTCGAGACTGAACCACCCATTTTCGCATCCCAAATTATTTGGTCCTAGCTATGACTTTCTCTGCCATTCTCTTCTTGCCTCAGCTTTTTGAGACAATCTTGCGCCACTTGATGTATCATATTTAATTATTTACTACCCAGAATCCTGAAACTTGCCTCCAAGAATGAAGTCGGTGAAAAGCCCTAATTAATGCTGATTTTTAATTATTAATTTTTTTGCTAATTCTGTTTTTTCAATTAGTTATCTGTTTATGCTTTTTTTTTTTTTTCACAAGTGATGTGGTGCTCATTTGTAAATTATTTGGGCTCCATTGTTTGCTTGAAAATTGAAAATACTTTTTGAAAGTTTTTTTTTTTTCTCAATTTTATGTTTTGTTAATGACAAAAAAAGTTAACCTAATGTTGAAACTTATTATTAAAAAAAAAGTTAGTAAATATATATTTCTTTTAGATCACCGATATCCGAATCCTATTATCAGAAACCGTTTAATTTAACTCGCGCTTAGTCACGTATACATTATATAATTATTGAACAACATACATGAATATCAAATGTGCTCTAAATTAATCCCGATTGATTTGAGTTAAACTTTTGGATTGATGCTCTTAATTGAAAACACTGTGAGAATTTGGGACCAAGAAAAACCTCAAGCAGCTACCAGAATTACAGAATACAAAGAAATGTATACATATAAACGAAAAAGGACGACTGACCATAAAAGCGCATGGGTGGAACTGGACCAATTATTTTAAATTGGGTATCAGTACATCGCACCAACAAAATTAATGTGAAGACATTAATGGAAAACACAGAAGAAGATGAAGAAGAAAAAAAAGGAAGGAGCATGACCTGTTTTTATAATAACCAATAACAGAATAATGGTTAAATTGTAACAAATCTTACTTTCCTTTACATTCCAATTTTAATTGTTTGTCTTAATTGTATTCTAATTTCAAATTATGGTAAATTTTTTGTCATTTTATTTTATTTTAATATTGCAAATGATGTAGATTAAACTAGTCCAATAAAATGTCACGTTGTAATTTTTCTTTCCATACGTCGATCATCTGCTTTCTCTCTCCTCTATGAAGCCATAAAGGAGTTTATTCGGAATGTCATTTTCCTTAAGATTACTGTTTGCTAATTTAGGTGCAACAGTGTTGTTAAAAAAGTTTGACTAATTGAATTTAAAATTTTTTGAGGTGCAATTATTGTAATTCGTATAGTGGAGGTATTTTTAGATGGTTTATCCACAAAATAATAATATTTTATTTGCAATCCGCTACTTAATTTGGAAGGTTTTTGTATATGAGTGAGTGAGTGAGTGAGTTACAGCTAATTAACTCGGGCACTAATACGTGTTCCCACAGTAAACTCTCACATCTACTATCACATCAACACTTTTATTTTTTTATAATAATAATAATAATAATTAAAAAAAGCGTTAGAGCCATAGTCCGTAGAGGTAAAGTCCGCGATTTCCCCACGCTTTAGCGGTTTAGCCCATTTCCTTATAAAGGTCTTGGAGGGCTAACTTGTTATTTTTCAGAACAAAATTCTTCACTTGTATTCGTGTAAAATAAAACAAGAGAAAAAAGATTATACAGATTATTATTATTACGTTATTACCATTTAATTTTGTTTACTGGCTTATATGGCCAGTCCTAATGCTGATTCGCCGCCCCAACCATACCAGCCGGATCAAGTCCTTGACCCTATTGCGGCGCCAGAACAACAATCACCACGCTCCACGTCATCCAACCCTTCACCAAGACCCATTCGATCTCCATCGGGTTTTCCCTCCACTGGAAGGCATCCGACTTATCGGGGAATTCGGAGTCGGAGTGGAAAATGGGTATCCGAGATCCGGGAGCCACGTAAAACTACTCGTATATGGTTGGGTACGTACTCTACTCCTGAAATGGCAGCCGCCGCTTACGACGTCGCTGCTTTATCCCTTAAAGGTCCCGACGCAGCCCTCAACTTTCCTGAATCTATTTTATCTTATCCAATACCAGCTTCGATGTCAGCCAGCGATATACGGGCCGCTGCTGCTACTGCAGCGATGGCCAGGCAGCCCAAGCCAGAAAGCGGGTCTAATCCGTCTACGGGTCCCCTTGAAATAGAAGGCACATCGTCTTCCGGTATTAGCTATGTTGAATCAGGTCAAAAGTTTATTGACGAGGAAGAGATTCTAAATATGCCGAATTTGTTAGTGGACATGGCAGAAGGAATGTTGTTGAGTCCACCAAGGATAAACACACCGTCATCGGATGATTCGGCAGGAAATTCAGATGAAGGATTATGGTCTTACCAGTAAATTAAAAGAAAATCCCCATTTATCCAGATACAGTGGTAATATAAGTTGTTTGATATTTAGCGGTTTGGGTTTTGCTTAGATTTCCTGCTGTCTGTATCAGAATCATCAGTATCAACTATCACTATCAGTCAATAGGAAAGTTAGCTCCTTCAAACTGGTAGGCGATTCTGCTGCACCATATTGCTAATTAGCTTAGCTGTATATGTTTTTACACTTAATTTCAGCAAGAGGACATAGGGAAGTGTACGTCTATCTCATGTTGTTTTTTAGGAAAAAGACGTGCAGGAGACGTGCCTACATTGTCATTTTCCTTGTGGAGAAGACGAGTTTGATATTTTATGGTACGGAGAGGCTCTCATGGCCACAATTTCTTTCATTTTGTTTTTTTCCCAGTTTTTTTTGAGTCTCAACTCTCGAGATATGGGTTCCTAGAGAATTTATTGAACAATGGCTGCTCTCTTCTTTCTCTTATGTTATGAATCATATCCTGATCTCTTTCTCTTACATTTGAGTGCATTAGCTTTTTTTCCGTTTTCTCTTTCTCTTCATTTTCAGAATGGTGTATTAGATTTTAAATTACATGCTTACATTGTACAAATTTAAAACAATGGTGCTCATAGCGGTTCAGACATATACTGAGGCTTCTTTACTTGCCCAAATAATGCATGTTAATGATACAACTCTCAGTAGCTGCAATTAGGGATTCAGATTTTAAAGATTGATAATAATTACATTAAAACATATTCCCGATATTATGCTTTGTGCTTTTTGAATCTTCTTAGGTTTTCAGTTAATATGTTGGTTAGGCAGGCTCTACTACACCAGAAATGTGATCGAGCCTGCAAGTATTTTCTATCTTTCTTTGCCCTTGCATCTATATAAGTTAAAGCTAACAATATTTGTGCTATTAGATTTTTATATATCAAGGAGTAGACAGTGGTAAATATAAGGAAGTGAGAGAGTTAGAGATCATTCTCTGCATGAACCAACACTTTTTTTTTTTCCTTTCTTTTTCTGGTTTCTTTTTAACTGATAATAATGCTTTTCTTTGCTGTTTTCTGGCGTTATTTCATCCAGTGAGCCCCTGACCTGTAAACTCTAGCTAGCTCTTAATGATATCTAAAAGCTTAATCTTACTGCTTAATTTCTTCGCCATGACTAGGTAAGTACTTACTTTGCCCTAACATTAATTAGAAGAAAAGGTTGAAGAAACGATCAGCAAAATTCTAATGTAAAAGGGTTTAAGTTCTGCAGTTAGGGACTCAAAACAGTTTGAGAAATAAGAGATACATACCACTATGATTGTTTAGAAGATTGTAAGGTTTATCATCATTATTCTAATTCCAAATGTCAACCAACTTGTATGCATTTGTGATTCCCCAGTTTGAATTGTATTTGAATACTGAATGCAGTTTTTGAGTTTGAAAAAACTGAACTAAGAGAACAGGTTACAAGAAGAATTTCCCCTTATATATATATACAACCCCAACTTGTATGCTTTGTGAATTTCCCCAGTTTGAATTGTATGTGTGGAATACTGAATGCAGTTTTTTTGGAAGTTTGAAAAAACTGGGAACTAGAGATATCAGGTTACAAGAAAGAATTTTCCCCTTATATAATATATAGTATATATATATATATATATAAGCCAAGCCTGCGTGCCACTACTATAAATCTGGTAGTCCGGCAACGAAATTTGTGAGAATGTATGATCGGCTACTTTGCTAGTTGCTACTCTAGTTGATATGTTGAAAGATAAAGCGGAAGTCGTATATATATATATATATATATATATATATATAGCCAGCTGCGTGCCACTACTATAAATCTGGTAGTCGGCAACGAAATTTGTGAGAAATGTATGACGCTACTTGCTAGTTGCTACTTTAGTTGATTGTTGAAAGATAAACGGAAGTCGGTAAACAAAGTGGGTTGATTTGAAAGTTGAAGGGCTGAAACAATTCAAAATTTTCAATTATCTATATAAGATTGAGGAATTACCGACATTAATTTCCAATGTGTGATTAAGAGTCAAATAAGAAATAACGTTAAATTAATTATGGCAATGTGAAATCTTTTCTCAAATAACAGGCGAACGGTCTAATCTTCAATATAGGCTGCAGCATTTCAAATGAGATAGGTGTTCACTGTCTAGGTTAATTTCATGGCTGAGATTTTGAAAGAATAGACATATCAACTATAACTTGTGTCTAGTTCCACAAGTTATAGTAATGGGCAGCAGCTACCTTTCAATATATGCATCTTCATTATACCAATTATGATATGATCGAGATTCTCTCCCTTCGGGACATATAAATATGAGCAAGATTAAAGAAAGAAATATCCACCAACATATTGATTTTTCTGATTAATTAAATCACGTTCAGATGATGAGAAGATGCTGTTGGAATTGAAAAATTAATATGAATAATTTCTTAATTAGTTTTTATGCACCTGAACTCTCTCCAGATACCTTCAAATTGAACCTTACATAATTTATAAGCTATGGAGGAAACTCAAGCGATCATTCATTAGCATTCCCAACCCAGGAGAAAAATGGATATTGCGAACTGACACAAAAAGACAAAAAGAGCAAAGAAAAAAGACATCACATGATTTATAATGGAAATGTAAGAACAAAAATTGCAAATATATAAAGCAAGAAAAATAATTGGTCCACGGCCTCCATTTTGTATAAAGTAAAATGATTGTGATTCGTTCCGTAAAGAGAAGGATCGGAGAAGATTATGAAAAGAAAGTGGGGAATGGTCCACACTCCATTGTAAGTTACAGTATTATTATTTACGGGGATATGCATTGCAGCCATAGCTACCGACTCCATAGATATTTTACAACATTGTCATCACTTTTATTTCTCGTTTTTCCGATTTAGTCGGATAGGTTCATTTCACCTTCACTCACTTCGCTGTTCTAAATGCGGCTGTGGGAAAAGCAGGACCGCCACTGCACAAATATTAATTATACATTGTCTTTAATTAATTATGTAGTGCAGGTAATTTATATACAGTTCTGTAAAAGCTTTTCGTACAAAATGACCAATCGTGTCCTGCGCTTAAAAGTTTCAATTAATTCATACCAATGTCGATGGGAAATTTTGTAATTATGCTTTTATAAGAAAAATGATATTGAGCACGACTTAGAAAATAAATAGCCCCACTTGATCTATACTTTGAAGCTACTGCGGTCCCTTAATAAAAATAATTTTTGGATCAAAATGAAATGAGAGTATTTTTGATAATTTATTAAGGAAAAAAATAAGGCATTAATAATTTTTTAAAAATAATTCATGGATTGACTTGATATATGAGTGAGTCTGTACATCGAATATAAATAAGTCTTATCCTAATAAAATTAAAATATCCTATTTTCTTTTATATATTTTATAAATCTTGAAATTTTAATTTTACTCATTGTTTATTGCTTTTGCTCAAATATTGGTTAACTTTATTGAATGTCTCAATACACATAGAGTTTAATTATAATAACTAATTTAAAAAAAAAAAAAATCAGGGATCAATTGCAAATAATATAACCCAAATCTTTTGGCTCCAATTCCTAGTCCTCTTATATGCATATTAACTATCTATCTATCTTCACTAATTTACCATTTGGGAGAATTATTATTTAGTCCCTAATGTTTCACTCTTATTACTATTTAGTCCCTTTTTTGATATAAAGATAACTATTATTCAAAAAAAATTCACAATTTAACTGTTAAATTTTAACAAAAATAGTAAACATGAGGGATTAAAATAGTAACATCATGTTAACTGTGAGGATCAAATAGTTAAATGTCATAGAGTAATTTTTTTGCCTTTTTATAACTGTTAAAATAGTAAATTTTTGACGGAATACTTAAATACTTTAATAGATCAATAATATAAGAATGATTTAATACATAAGTGCTAACCTTAGGAGACTAAATAGTAATTCTGGCATGCAATTTTTTTTTTTATTATTATTGCAAAAATAGTGTAATACTATAATCAATAATGCGGAAACATCGTGTACCCTAAATTGAGAGTGTACCGTATGAGGACCACGAGACTTTTTGAGCCAGTGCTACAGTGAAATATTTTCGTTTCTCGTGACCTTGTCTGAGAAAGAAAAATGATTTGACTATACTTAAGTGTATCTATCTACCAAATTATAATTAATTATTAAAAAAAAAAAGTAACCAATTGGTGAATGATTGTATAAATAAAAAGAGCTTTGTTAAATAACAATTACACAGTTATACTTTGTACGATCTGTGTACATTTATTTATAAGGAAATTTAAAAAATTAGTCAATCTCACTATTGTCACATTTACAATTAAAGAAAAATTTAGTTAATCTGATTTGTCTTTTCAATAACGTGAGCAATGTGAGGTTACAAGTTTAAATCATTTAGATTATTTTAATTTATCAATTTAGTGAGTTAAAAGAGAACTATTCCTATTGTGTAGTCTATTTATATTAGTTCGAGCAATTAGACATTTCAATGAAAAAAAAAAATTTTTGAAAAGTTAATTAAAATCCACTTTTATATTTTTGTTCTTGTCTAGACCAAAACAGGTGTGAAGGATTATTATAATGGATGGTTGAAGAATAGGTGGGAGTAGCACTGAAAATTGGGTGTCACTGGATTGAACCACGGCCCAATATTTTAACCTACTCTACTTTGTTTCACTTACTTCCAAGTGCCAGTCACAGCTTCGAAATTAGATTTTCAGGTGGAACCCAGTAGAAAATCTAATGGGACCTTTAGAAGGTTTTGGCATAAAATGCACGTGGTCCACGCGTTTCCGCGGAAAAACCCAGTGGCAGTGAGCTACCGCCACTGTGAGGCATTCAAAGGCCAAGGCAGTTGGATTAACTGTCAACCGTGTTTTGGGAAATGTGTGACGTCACCGCCAAAAAGGTATCGTTTGATCCTATGCGCCGCCCCACCCTCTCCTCCTCTGTTTCCTTTCTTCTTCTTCGTAGCTTCAATATCGTTATTCGTTCCATCACAATCTTTCCTGCTTGCAATTTGTTAGAAAAAGTAGAAGAGAATGAAAAATAAATAAATTAAAATACTTTTTCCTTTAATACTACACTTTAATAAATTTTTCTATTTTCTCACTAAATTGAAGAGTTAATTTTAAATTTTTCTATTTTCTCACTAAATTGAAGAGTTAATTTCCTTCATTTTTTACATTTCTACCTTTTTTGTTTCTTAAACAAGCGAAAAGAAAATTTCTTTCTTATTTTTTCAAATAAGATAAAGGCAAATCTTTTTGTTGGTTTTTTTAGGAACAAGAGCTACTAATTGCTGATTGACATTCTGAGCTGGAGAATTGCGACATGTCAAGTGTGTGAAGTACATCAACTGGAAATTAAAGTGCGCTTGATCTGACTTCGTGGATTTGGATCCACAGTATGCGTTTTACCAATTTTGCAATTAAAAATAAATTTGAACAGAGAAAATTACAAAGTAAACTTAATTGCTTGAAATGTAAAGGAACTTTGATTACTTGAAATATAAAAGAAATTTGATTGCACTAAAAGTTTCTTATTATATATAGATTTTCATGTATTTATTTTTTGAATTAATTATGAATATAAATTATCTTTAATGATTATTTAAATAATTTATTATATATAGATTTTCATGTATTTATTTTTTGAATTAATTATGAATATAAATTATCTTTAATGATTATTTAAATAATTAATTTATTATATATAGATTTTCATGTATTTATTTTTTGAATTAATTATGAATATAAATTATCTTTAATGATTATTTAAATAATAAATTAACGATCAAATTAATTTCTTAATAATTTTATTAATTGTTATTTTTTATTTTTAAAATTATTATATGTTGACAATAAAATTACAATAAAGTTATGCCGACGAAGACAAAAACGAATATATATAAATTTTCAACCTTATTTTGAGTTCATAAATGTATATATTTGTGTGGTAATAAATATTTTGACCAATAGCATTCTCAAAGTGCACATATACTAGTATGGTTTATTATATATTTACATGTATACGATAATGTCAATATAATATTTTATAATATTATCTATAAATTAAATTATTATGTTCAAAATTAATGAGAATGAAATATCATATATAAACTTTTATTATAAAATATCAAATCCTATTATATTATGATATAGCTTATATTTATAATTAACGGACGCCAGGCTCGTGTTTTCTAAACAGAGTGTCAGGGTAAAGAAAAGGGTAGAGAAAAGAAAAGAAAAAAAAAAGAGTAACAGCCATGAAAGTACATAAAAATCGGCGAGTCATTGAAACTCTCTTAATAAAAACGAAAAAAACTGTCAGAGTAGTGATAGTGATACTGAGCGTTGACCCTGACAGCTAAAGCCTGTAGGTTGATTATGAGATGGAAATAATACTAAGGATAATTAAAATAAAAATAATAAAAAATGTGACGTGTCCGTTTCAAAAGCCACCCGGCACGTTCTGTCGCCCTTAAAACAGCTGTTACCAAACCCAGTCCAATCCTGGGCGAAAAAAATGCGTGGGATAAACCAGCCTGTCTCCTTATCACACTCCGTGTGCGCGTTCGAAATTTGCTAAGTCCCCTTATACTATCTCATTCATCATATCATCGTTATATATAAAACACTATGAATTCACATTTATGTGCACCAAAATTAATTTAAAAAATACCCAAACAAACACTTGATACTACACAATCGCTGCTCAGTGTTCACTTAAAATATACAAACAACAAATACTTCCCCCTTTTTCAGACATGGATTTTCTCTCTTGCTACTCCGACCCACTTCCTTTTGGCGGCTTCGATTCTCCAGTGTCGGATAGTTGCAGTGCTCCAGCTCGTACAAATTTTTCCGATGAAGAATTGATGTTAGCTTCCAGCTATCCAAAGAAACGGGCTGGCAGAAAGAAATTCCGGGAGACTCGCCATCCCGTTTACCGAGGAGTTCGTAGGAGAAACTCCGGGAAGTGGGTTTGTGAAGTTAGAGAACCTAATAAGAAATCAAGAATATGGTTAGGAACTTTTCCCACGGCGGAAATGGCAGCACGGGCTCACGACGTGGCGGCGCTGGCACTTAGAGGTAGGTCTGCGTGTTTGAATTTTGCAGACTCGTCATGGCGGTTGCCAGTACCAGCTTCGAGTGATCCAAAGGACATTCAGAAGGCGGCGGCAGAGGCTGCAAGAGCATTCCGGCCAGTAGAGGCGGATGGACTTTTAGGGGATGAATTTAGACAGGAAAACAAGAGGGCGACAGAAACAGCCGAGGCGGAGGGCATGTTTTATATGGATGAGGAGGCAGTTTTCGGAATGCCAGGACTGCTTGCAAATATGGCAGAGGGAATGTTGTTGCCTCCACCTCAGTGCGTTGCAGAGAATGGAGACGACATAGAAGCAGATTCAGCTGATGTGCCATTATGGAGTTTTTCCATATAAAGGAGTGAAGTAGGGTGGACTAAATTGGAGAGTTTAGTAGTTGACTGCTCCGTACTTAATATTTTTGACTAGTACGGTTAGAAATTTGCATAGTGGCTATATCACTATATTTAGTAACTAGCTAAGGTTTCATGAAAAGACAGAGGGAAAGCTGTCTTTTAAGTTACTAGTTCATTCACATATCAAGAAACAGAAAAATAATTAACACTTCGCAAGCCTGGCCCAAATGTCTTCAAGCTTCACTCTTGGGTCTAGGCCACTCATTTGGATCAACCTCAGCGAACCAAGCCTGGAGTTAAGTGCTTGGGAGATTCCCCTCCCCTCACTTTTTTTTTTTTTTTTTTTCCACTCATTTGGATCAACCTCAGCGAACCAAGCTGGGAGTTAAGTGGCTTGGGAAGATTCCCTCCCCTTGCTCACTGTACTTTTTTTTTTTTTTTTTTCAAAAAATCACTTTTTTTTTTTTTTTTTTCAAAAATCACGATTCACAAAAATATATCAAAGAAAATAGAACCATAGAAGGCGGCAATTTAAACATCCAAAGATGGTCGGAAGCAGAAAAATAGAAAGTGGAATTACACCATGAGTCGTGTCCATATAATGATCCAGCAATAAAAACATTATTGCCACCTGATAAACTCCCCAGCCAAGAGGTTGCATATCTTACAAGTAGCACAAAAAGACTACTCTACAATTGACGGATGTATATCTCAGTGTCCAATCCACGTGATTGAATTTATACAATCAACATATCCGTACAACAGAAACAAACTTTACAACTAAAATTCTGCAGCCTGGTTTCTTCATATGAAAAGGAAAATGCCCAGTGATCTCAAAATTTGAGTTTCATTACAGAATGTGTACCACATTGTCCGTAGAAATAATAGATCAACACCAAATGAAATTCAAAGTGGAAGGAGTACGCATCTGCGAAAAATACATGCACAGGAAAAAGAACGCTTTTCAGTTGTTCGACACATAACTGAGCCTGCGATGTGCTTGGCATAATCTATCGTCCGCTTACTTCAAGGATAGGGTACGGAAAGTGCTACTTGGTTTTCTTGAGGAGACTTGATGTTCTAAACTCTGCATCATCCCTGACGAAGCTCCACCAAAGATATGTTAGTGGTATGGTACTTGCATGCCAAAGAGCATGAGCATCAACAAATCCATGGTATGGTGGGAAGTCATATATTTCCAAGAGCGTGGCTAGACCTCCTCCCACCACCACCACCCACAACTTCCACCTTGATGGATGACGAGTAATACCCGCCCAAACTGCCCAAATGAGTAGTTGTGCTATACTCATGGCTGTACAAACTTTCATGTTCAAGCCTGCAAAATAATTAACCCATATAAAACCATCACAAAAGAGAAACACAGCACATTACAACTTTTTTATGTCCAACATCTTCTCTCAATATAGCAACATTCATCAGCACAATTCCTGGTAGCTTTTCTATTTTTACCTTTTTCTTTTTAAATCCTAAAGTGGGTGTGGGGTCCAATGAGAATGATCTGCAAATGCTATAGTATTTTGGTCATTTTGAGGAAGCTCAACTTGTCCATGGACAAAGTGATTCCTTTGTAAAGCACCAACCAGTACAGATGAATATGGACAAATGCCAATAAACAGAAAAAGAATTGGCATTCTCAAGTGATAGGCCACACTGGCAGTGTGGGGTTGAGATTATAATGGCAGTGACACAAAGTTAAAAAACACAATTTATTCATTCTTGCTGCAAGCACATGAAAATAGTAGTACATAGTAGATAGTATCAAACGTAGCTCAATAACATGCTTGCCGAATTTGAAAGGATAAGAGAATTAGAAGTAAAAATGAAGTACATTTTACTAAACTTTAATACAGATAATGAATATTTACGTTGTTTGCATACAATCAATTAGTCCACTAATAACAGGGACAACTCAAAGTTGGATGTGATGTGCATAAAAGACAAACTATGCCTACAATTGAACATGCAGAAAGACAATAGCAAGAAATTTAGCGGGTTGCTGAAATGAAAAGCTGATTAAATTGAACAAACACTTTCAATAACATTCTGCAATTGTTGGTCTTAGATAGGGATTATTTATGGTGCATTATGAAGCAAGAAGATTATATAGAAATAATTACCATAATCAAAATTATAGAAGTTCAGATACATGATATGTGTTGTAAGAAATGCAATCCCAGGAGCAGCAACCATGACTCTTGCAGCCTCATCTCTCACGCAAAATGCTCGCAGTATTGCGAGAATAAGAGTAAACCCAAGCAATGCCACTGCAGAGGAATAATCTAGCTTCTCTGTCAACTCAACATCCCTGCAATTAATTAAATCTGAAAGTGACATAGCACATGGGATAAAAGTCGAACAATACAATAACACAAAGCAAAAGACAAATATGCATGTAAGTAGGGGTGATATCTTAACGTAATAGTACAAGTTCTTGGCCTGCAACCACAGTTGTGCAAGTCCAAGTCCTCAGAGCACTCACTTTATGTGGAAAATGCTGAAGAGTATTATATAATAACAACTGAGTCTTAATCCCAAACTAGTTGTTATTGGTTATATGAATCCTTTGTTTTCATTCTATTTTGTTCATAACCAAGTCTACACTAATGTCAATATATACACACACAGCTACATAAAGTGTGTCTCTCTATAAGTGAACATATATACTTAAACATTATGTGCATCCATGAACAAATGTTAAAGAGAAACACTTTCCTCTCCACAAGGTATGCCACTCCGTATTAAAGTAGGCATTGATGTTAACTATGATGAACAGTAGAGTGAACATCCATTTCTCTTAACTCTTTGTCCATCCTAATGTTTACTATCATGAATAGTAAGAAATGATTATACACCTCAAACCAAAAAAAAAAAAAAAAAAAAAAAACTCAAACCAAAAAAAAAAAAAAAAAAAAAACTCTAAACTGATGGCGACAAAATTTTTCTTCCCCCCTCATGAAATTCACGTAACCATACACGAATAAATCAATATTCTGTAACAATGTCAGGAAAAAAAAAAAAAAAAAAAAAAAAACTCTAAAACTGATGGGCGACAAATTTTCTTCCCCCTCATGAAATTCAAACGTAACCATACAGAATAAATCAATTATTCTGTAACAATGTCAGGAAGAAAACTTGTGCACCTTCCAATAACATCATCCACTACAATGACTGCTTACCGACTGTGGAAAACGGCACTCCAGAACCAAGAGTTCATTGATAGGACCCCGTAGATGTGCCACAAGCCAGTATATTCATAATAAGTTCTCTTATTTGGTCTCAATGGTAAATTGTAGTATACGAGGATGAAAAAGGACACCCAACCATGAAATTGAATAGCAAGATTGAGGGCAGAGAAAGCAACAGAAACAGGTTCCTGAGAGCACAAACATCATTTAATTGACATAACCAGATTAAGTTATGGGGTAACTAGATAAAAATGACTCGAAACATTATATTTAAAAACCTGAATTCCATAAACACGTTGAAATGCCCATTTCCCGTGATACTTGACAGGCTTATCACCAAGCTTTTGTCTTTCTTCCTCTCTGGCAACCATGCAGTGGTATCGACAATCACTGCGACAGTCCCATTGTTTCCACTGCAGATAAAGCGGCTCTTGCAGATACCAAGGTCCATCAATAGGCTTTCCATCAGCTGAGAACTTACAATGTTGGAAGCATTTCCCACCGACACACCCAGTTTTCTGACATTGCTCCACGCAAGACCTGATATGAGCAACCATTAAAATAATAGCAATAATTGATTAGTCATCATTTTCATTACTCTAAAAAGGTGCCCCCTGAAAACATTTTAATTATCAATCAATAAGAGAAGTTCAAGGCAGTCTTCCAACCACACTAACTAATCTCTCTTAGTTGTGAGGCCTTTCAGAAGCAAAATCATCAGAAATTAAATTCGTATAGATGAAACTATCCAGAAAAATATGCCAATTAAAAAGTCTATGCTCACAGTAATTCAGCCATGGATCAAAAAAGAGACAAGAAATAAGTGGCATTCCCACAGCCAACAACCGCGCATATTTGTAGTTACTGTGAACCTAATCTCAATTTGCATCTGTGAAACATCATGACAATGAAATGTTGAATTTTTGTAAACGTGTGGAGATATCTATATATTTAAACATATATATAGAATAGTCTTAACATAGGTTTTGAGCTTTTCTATGAGTAATCTAGGGAAAAGGAAGAGGCTCACGTAGCTGGATTACTCTTGCTAAGACTAAATGATTCAACTTGATGTGAAAATGGCAAAATGGATCATAATAGCTGGAAAAGTGACGAACTTGTGCTGAACTTGCTTGAAATTGACAATGCAACATTTAAATTTAAAGGAATTATATCATTTTCAAAAGCAAAATAAAGAATATTGCTCAAAGGGAAAATTCCCATAAGTACTAGAAAATGCAAAAGAGTTGGGGAATACACGGGAGCCCGAAGAAAGTTGAAGGGAATAAGGTCAAGTAAGTAGTACATAATGCGTGATTGTATATGTAGCCCTTGCTCGTTTTCCATATCACGGATGAGTTCTCTCACTCATCCTAGACTTGCCTTCTGGCTGGACTATCTTCCATTCATGTGGATAATACTGATTCCTTGGGTTCATTTAGCCTTGGATTTATTTAAGTGTAAAAATATGTATAAAATATGCCAACAAGCCACCCAAAGAAAATCCATATAAAAAGGAAAAAAAAAAAACACAGTACATAAATTTTATTAGTAAACGGCATATGACCGAGGAAGCTACAACCAAGTTAACTCAAAATGCCTAAATATTTAACTCAAAATGCCCAATTCATAGAATGTACCTTCAAACTACATGTTGCCATGCACACTATGTTTATATTTGATAATTTGAATTCACAATCAATTCTCACCGTCAATAACTATATGTGCACATTCAACCAGCATTTCTTTCTAACCCATGGTGAATAGGATTTCTTTACAGTCCACCAATTCATTAATATCTATATACGGCGTTAAAATTGCAGGGCTAATTTAGCAGTTTCTATTTCCCCACCTTCTCTACCTCTTTTATGTCACTTAATAACATATACTTTATTCAATTCCACAAAAAATGCAGGCAAATAACGCTCAGGTCGTGAATCAAAGACTACTAACCTTTTAAGTTCAATCTAAGTTCCAAGCAGAATACTAAACTCAAGTTACGCATGCGAATATATATAAATTCAGAAACAAATGAACATCAAAACAATCAAGACAAGAGGGAAACAACGACACCGCCAAAGGGTAACCATAAATTCAGTCAAAGAGAGAGAGAGAGAGGTAGCTTACTTGTAAACCGGATCAGCATCACCAGCACTTGCGTCAAGCCCACGCACTAAACAGAAGAGTGAAAAAGAAAGCAATATCCAACGACACCAAGCTATTCGATGCATTGAAAAATAGCAAAAAGTCAACACAGAAGGGTCTAAAGTTTTCTATGATATCAACGGCTGACAACGGAGGTTCGAGCTAAGATGTGATTGATAGGGTTCCATGGAATCAACAAAGCACGAGGAAAACGTCTCTGACTCACTGACTGTGTGTGCGCACGAAGCAAGAATTCAAATTATATACGGAGAAGACAAGCTGGACCGAGTAAAGCTGAACTTGAGCTCGGCAAAACAGAGAGAAGATTAGCGTGACTCTTAGTGAATAAAGGAACAAGCTACGGATATCGAAGACTTTGATGGGGCAGAGACCAGAATCTCGTGAATGGTTGATCTTTTAGGCGATTCACGAGGAGACACGTGGACCGCTTTCGATCATCTTGCTCTTACTAAAATGCCCTTATAAACTTCACCCGATGTTTTTATGTCCTTCAATAGCCCACATACACGATGTCGTTTTTGTAGCTTGCGGTTTTCTGGTAATATGCCGTTAGGGAGTACAGAAATTTTCCAAACTAATTTAATTGGACAAAACTCAAAAGGGTACTGTTTATATCGCCTGTCCCTTGTCCTAAGCTCTAAATCGAGATAATCCATGGCCTCTGCTAGTCTCCTTCTTCAAATCAATCCCAGTCGCTTTCCGTTTCCCAACTGCAAGGCGCGTCGCTCAGATAAATTCAAACAGACGCAGTTGTCTCTTTCCGTGCCCCTCGGCCAATCAGGTCCTTTCCCGCCATTTCCACCATCTACTGTGAACCAATGGACCGCAAAATCCACCGTAATTTCGTGCGCTAACGTGTCGGGGCCACCGTTTGTGAGCGAGTCGGACCCAAAGGTTGAGGCGTCGGAGGCAACAAGAGAGCAGGTGCAGCCTTCGAAATTGATAAGCTGGGGTCTTTTGTGGGGTCTTTTGCTTAATCATAAGCTGAGCCTTGGGATTTCACTTCTGACTCTTGTTGGTTGTACTACCTGTACTCTCTCAATGCCCATATTTTCAGGTGCGGATCGAGAGAATTCTTTCCGTTTGGTTCCAGAGAAAATGGACGGAAAGGAAAAGAGGAGAAATTATTTGAATTCCTGTTTTTCTCTTCTTTTTTGGCCTGCAGTGTTAATTATATAATCAGTAGATTAGCATATAATATGCTCAAGTTTCAACTATGTAAGTAACGCTTTTTGGTCTGTTGCTTTAATTTAGTGTGTGTTTGATGGTAGGCCGATTCTTTGAAGTGCTTATTGGCGCAAGGCCAGACCCTCTATGGAGGCTGCTGGGTAAGGTTGGACTTCTATATTCGTTGGAACCTATTTTCACTGTGATCTTTGTTGTGAACATGAACACTATTTGGGAGAAGGTAATGTCAAAATTAAGAGCTCATACATTCAGAAGAGTTTTGATACAGAAGGTATAAGCTTACTGATGAATTTATTAAATTTTTCTAACTTATTAATTCCAAAAATTAAATGCTCTTTTCATATGTTTTGTTTTCCCTTTCTTTTTTTTTTTTTTTTATGCAGACAGAGTTTTTTGATCGATACAAGGTCTGTGCTTTTAGTTGAGAACTCGAGTAGTATCAGTTAATGACTTTTTGTTTGAATACATCATTCCTAACTGAATTTAAGGACTTTGTGTTGTTAACTCTTTGCAGGTTGGTGAAATCAGTGCTTTATTAACATCTGATTTAGGTGCTCTGAAAGATATTGTCAGCGAGAACATTTCAAGGGATCGTGGTTTTAGGGCACTCTCTGAGGCAAGCCATTCTATACTAGACCAAAAGTGAGCTTTATGTTGCCTAGTCATATAGGTTGTCATCTCTGATTAAATTTTAAACCAGCATACTTTTCTCCTGTTCTTTGAATTAATTTGAGTACAACATGGTTGCTTTTTCATATGTTCTTTTCTAAAAACAAATATTTGTTCCTTTTCACAATTCCCATATATGATTCTGCTGCCAGAAACTGCTGTTCTTTTCATATTCCATGTTCTTTACTTTTTTGCAGGTGATTGGGACTATATGCATACTATTTGCTCTGGCCCCTCAGCTGGCTCCAATTCTGGGCATACTGATGCTTAGTGTGTCTGTTTTAATTGGTAAGAATTTTCTCTTTTGAATCATCAGTTTGGCGAGCGCCTTTATTCTGTGTTTAATGAACTCTACATCATGTAGAAACTGTCTCATCAATGCTACAGAAGTAGGGTTTTTCTTGCATGTACTGAGGCTTAGAATACAGGTCCATTATTAGTTCTCTTGTTGTCATTGTTTGATTAGCATCTATATTTGTTGACACCAATAAATGCACAAAGTCTTATTTCTTATTCATTCTGCCACTTTCAACATGATTACACTTGTAAATCTAAATTATATATATATATATATATATTTTTTTGCTTTTTTCTATTGCTTTGTTTTCTGTTACCTGCTGCTGACTAGAATTATTGCTTTCAAGCCACATTTAAGCGGTCAACTATACCCATTTTCAAAGCTCACGGCAAGGCCCAAGCATCTATATCTGATTGTGTGACAGAAACTTTTTCTGCTATTCGCACTGTAAGTCTTCAAAAATGATCTGTCATGTACATTTTTGTGCTTGTAGAGCATGAAACATGCCATTGTTTCATTAATGGTACATTAATTACCGACAGCAAGGTCAGTTGTTCATTCCCCAGTAGAGTAACATTGTGATGTGAAGTAGGAAAATTGTCTGCATGATAATTGAAGCACCAATTTATGTTTTCACAGGTAAGATCTTTTGGGGGTGAAAAGCGCCAAATGTCAATGTTTGGCAGTCAGGTAAGATGTGGACCTTGATTATGTCTTGAAATATTTTAGCTACTAGTACGGTTATTTTCACTATACTGCAGTAGTCATGAAGTCATAGACTTTTTTACAATTCACTTAGCATTTACATGAAGGAGCTTGCCAGGTTCTTGCTTATCAGACTAGCGGCATAAAGCTTGGGACCTTCAAATCTTTGAATGAATCATTGACAAGAATTGCTGTTTACATCTCTTTGATGGCCTTATATTGTCTTGGAGGTAGCAAAGTGAAGGCAGTAAGCACTTTACCCTGAGATCATATGCAATCCATATCATGATTCTTAGTTTATTGATCCACTTGGTATTCTCACACAAGCGGGTTCTTGGAAGCAAGAATTTGCAGACAGTTCTCCTTTTCAACAGTTGGTTTGCATGTTAAATTTTGGAGAAAATAGTTCAGTTTTTCTGTTTCATGAGTCTAGAAAGTTGAAGAAATATCTACAAGACAAAAATAAAACTGAAAAATAAAAGGCAGCTCATATGATTCTTTGCTTCATAGACTTTATTCAAGGTAGAAATCTTAGAGAAGTTTATAACTTGACATGAGAAAATTGAAGAAAACAATAATGCCTTTCTGAAGGGGAAGACAATAAACTATTGATAGTCTGTAGAAAGCAGATTGGTATAACTAGAGCATCCTCTTTACCTTCATTACCCTCCTTTTTTTTTTCAACTTTCTTCCCTGATTCTACTTATGCCAAGCTTGAATGACTTATATTTTTCTTCAATTTGTTTCAAATCTTGCAGGGTGAACTCTCTGTTGGAACTGTTGCTTCTTTTATTGGATACACATTCACGTTGACATTTGCTGTGAGTCCTTGATCACTCTCTTCTACATTATAGTGATTCATCTTCCTTCAATATACTCAATAATATAATAAACTTTTCAGGTTCAAGGACTAGTCAATACATTTGGAGACCTTCGTGGTGCATTTGCTGGGGTTGAGAGGATTAATTCTATTCTGTCTGGAATAGAAACGGATGAAGCCCTTGCGTATGGTCTAGAAAGAGAAATACAGGAAAAAGAAAAACATGATGAGATAATTGAGTTATACTTTGTCAACGGTTACAGTGGGGAGAATAAGTATTTTAGCACGCATTACATGTCAGGCTTGAAATCAGCTAGCAACCTGCATACCTATGCTTGGACTGGTGATGTTTGCCTTGAAGGTATCAGCAATTCACTTTTATTAAATTTTTCTAACGTTCCTTGATGCAAATTTTCCCTTATCCTTTCCATCTTATTTTTTTTCTTAGTCGTTAATCATATTGTTATATATCTCCAATCAAAACCCTACAATGTGAGTTGAGCATCTCTTGTGAAATGGAATATCATGTTTATTCCAAATTAATTGTGGAAATCTCAATATAACAGCTTGAGATGAGTTAGTTCTTTGTAAGGTGTTTAAAACTTTGTAATTTTTCCTCTGAATTTATGTAGTTCATTCCATTAAAGCAACTATCCTTATTTCCTTGCAGATGTTCATTTTTCTTATCCACTGAGACCTGATATAGAAATCTTAAATGGTCTTCATTTGAAACTAAAGTGTGGAACCATGACTGCCCTAGTGGGCCCGAGCGGTGCTGGCAAGAGTACTATAGTTCAGCTATTGGCACGCTTTTATGAGGTTCATTTCTTTCAAAATATTAAATTTCAGTTTTGAATTACAAGTTATCTTCTGTTTTTGTTTCCATAAAAAATGTTGAGCAATATGCATTTCTTAATTTTGTAGCCAACTAGAGGTCAGATAACTGTTGCAGGAGAAGATGTCCGGACATTTGATAAAACTGAATGGGCTCGAGTTGTCTCCATAGTGAATCAAGTATGCATTTGGATATCCATATTTTTGAATCTTCGGTTAAACTCACTAATGCACAACTTGTTAGCATCAATAGCAAGCTGGCCATTGATTGCTTCTGAAATACAGTTTTGATCAAGTTCTAAGCTGAACTCATCTTGGAATGTTGTTAGCAAGCTTCATTTGACAGCCTGGCTTTTGGTTGTGAAAATAGATAACCATGATTTTCAGTTACAGACATATTAGACACCCCAGTTGAATAACTAATTCATTATACATTTTATTTATATATGCTTGTTTGCTATTAAAATATGTTACTGCAGAACTGAGATTTTATTGATAGTAGAGGGTGTAGTGGACTGAATAAATGGTTAAGATTAATTCTGGTTGTTG